AGATGAATGGTTTCTTACTCCTGCATCTTTCTGTTAATCTTTAAAAAGCAGAATACATGACACAGTTGTTGTTTTTTAATTTAAACCCTTCAGGCATATATCAACATATAGAAATGTGACTTATTCAACCTTTCTGCCCATGAAGAAGTTGGCTGCAGCTGCTGGATCACTAGGAGAAGGCTCAGCATAGCCATCTGTTAGCCCAGGCCATGTGGCCATGCAGAGGAGGACCAGAAGCCCTCCAAGAAGTTTTGGTCTGGTTGAGCATCCCAGAGAGGGCAGGAGTAAATCTTTCTCAAGGGACCATCTGAGCAATGTTCCATTTGGAATTTACTTGATTCAGTGAACAACTAAATCAAAGAAAAAGAGGCCTGCTAAAATCATCTAGTTTGTCCAAAAGCACTGCTTCTGTTAATATTCAATCTGTAATACCTGTGAGAAGGGTAACATATTAAAGATATTAACATATTAAGTATGTGTATGTGTATTTATTAATCTTTAACAAGTTAATGTGACTGTCTTCTAGGATCCTGACTAACCATAAACTTGGTCCTGTCTTGTGTCAGAGATACAAGTTAGAGAAGTTTTGATGAAGGGAAGGGTAAAGAAAGGAGTCCAGAGCCCAGGGTACCACTTGATAGGTTGATAGGTCTGATTGGGTGCCATGGTAACAAAGGGTCTTTGGTCAGCCTGGAGACTTAACCTGAAGCCATGTATACATGGCCCTGCCATTGTTTCTGCCCCTTTTATACATGCTCTGAGGTAGCAAGCCAAGCTTCCCATCATCAGGCACTTAGAGAAGTAGGCTCACCCAATGCACATGGCACCCAAGACTCCATACCATAGCATGTGGGAGGCTTGCCCCATCATATCTTCTAGGAGGCATTGGTCTGTGATTGACAGAAGGACCCAAAATGGCCCTTATGGCCCTAAGTGTTGGGCATGGTATAAGAAAGGTCTGGGTTCAAATTCCTCCTCTCACACTTATTATATAACCCTAGGTTATATTCAACCTCCATACCATAGGGGCAGCTAGATGGCACAATAGATAGAGCATGAGGCCTGGAGTCAGCAAGACCTGAATTCAAATCCCTGGACAAGTCACTTAACCTCCGCCTGCCTCAGTTTCCTCCTCTGTGAAATAGAGATTAAAATAGCATCTACCTTTCAGGGTTGTTGTGAGAATCAAATGAGATAGTATTTGTAAAGTCCTAAGCACAGTATCTGGAACATAGTAGGTGCTTAATAAATACTAATTTCCTTCCTTCCTTCCTAAATGGTAATGTTACTGCAGCAAAGTAATAGTAATATATCACTATAGGATAGTATAGGAATAGTGGCATATTACTATACTCTAGTAATTATATTATGGTATTTATAGTGGTTATACTATAGTAATTCTAATGATAATAATGTGACAGTATAATATAGTAATTATACTGTAGTATAATATGCTAAATTATACTATAGTATAATAATAGTATGGTCATAGTAATAGAAATATAATTTGTAGTATATAGTAATATTAATATCACAATAATAATATATTATTATACTATAGTATAATTTGGGAGTAGAAATATGTTTTATAGTATATTGGCATAATATAGTATTATAGTATATTATAGTATAAAAACAATAATATCCATTTTAAAAAGCTTTATTGGTAAAATTTGTACTTATATCATGGTCATAATCTGGATATTACCTGGGCTGGCCAAACACCTAACCAGATCCCCCAGAAAAATCTGGCTTTTCTCATAGCAACAAAGGACAGCTATGTGGTGCAGTGGATAAAATGCCAGGCCTGGAGTTAGGAAAACTCATCTTCCTGAGTTCAAATCTGGCTTCAGACTCTTACTACCTCTGTGACCCTGGGCAAGTCACTTAGCCCTGTCTTTCTCAGTTTTCTCATCTGTAAAATGAGCTGGAGAAGGAAATGGCAAACCACTCCAGTGTTTTTGCCAAGAAAACCCCAAATGAGGTTACAAGAAAATGACTGAAAAGAAAAACAGTGAAGCAAAATTTATTGATATGGTAATCTTTCTGTGATGTACATTTGGTTTTTTGTACCTGACCTTCTAAAAGAAGAGAGGTGCTTCTTCTTCCTTTCTTCTCCAGGACTGAGACTGGTCATTACAATTGCTCAGTGTCTGACCTCACTTTAATGTTCTTTTCATACATATTCTCAATAGCTCACTGTTTTTCCCATAATGTCTGCAGATGTCATTTAATTAGACATTACCTATTTGATTTGCAATTTGTGCCCTCTTTTCATTATGCATAAGGGGAATTGTGGGAACCTACCAAGTAGTTATCCCTGATTAAACTAGCTGATAAAGGTCATCAGACTCCTTCCTTCTAGGAAGAATTAAGTGTGATCTCTTCCTGCTGGCAGATAGCTCCAACTGTGCAAAAATGTCTTTCAAAAGGGCATTTGTTCCAGGAAACATTGGTTATGTTGTAATTAGTATACATTTCAGGATTACTGATTCTGCAACAGTGGCTTGAATACAGTTGTCACTACTGAAACTGTAACTTTTGATAGAACGGTTACTTTGTGCCCTTGGCACCGCCTCCCTCTTGCAGCCTTTCCTGCACCATCCTCATAATGCTCTCATTGCCCTCTGTCTTCATCCACACAGACAGTTCCTCAAGAAGAGAGAAAACAAATTTTACGAGCAGACCAGTCTCTCCTGGGTGCTAGCAAAGGCACGAGTGGTGTGCAATCTGTGCCCAGAGAACCTAATCCAGTACTCTCTTTCTGGGGGGAAGGGAAGAGGGAGCAAAAAAAATCATATAGGCTTGAGAGATGCTTCAGATACCAAGGTCTTTCTGAGTCTTACCTGGATTCCCTCATTGGCAGTCCGCTGAAACCCATGGATATTTTCTCAGAACAATATTCTTAAAAGCATAAAATACATAAGATTACAAAGGAAACCAAAGGTTAGTGAAAATAAAGATGTAATTTTTTTCCCATTCAAGTTCATGGACCCCTTGAAAATTAGAATCCTTGAAGCTTAGGTTAGAACCCCTACTGCTACAGAGGTAGCACAGTAGATAGAGAGCACAGTGGATAGTCAGGAAGATCTGAATTCAAAACCAGCCTGAGACACTTACTAGCTGTATGACCCTTGACAAGTCACTTAACTTCTATCTGCTTCAGTTTCCTTAACTGTAAAATGAACATAATAATACCACCTACCTCACAGAGTTGTTGTGAGGATCCAATGAGACAATATTTGTTACTTTAAAAAAAAAAAAAAGCATGTAGCATAGTGCCTGACACATAGTAGACACTAAAAAAAATGCTTGTTCTCTTCCCTTTTACTTCCCAAGTAAAGACTCAGAATCAGACCAAACTCCCAAGTTCAGATTCAGACCATGGAATCACTTAGCAAGCCTCTGCCCTAGAGAGACGTGCAAATCCAGCCATGACCTATTCTAAATCCAAGAAGATCCCCAATATATGCCTGGACCAACCAACATCATAGTCTTAGGGTTAGGCTGGGACCAAACTGGCCCATTTGGGGAGAGAGAGAGTGAAGGAGAGAAGGAAGGAGGGAGGAAGAGAAAGAGAGTATTCAATGGGGTAGGGAGAGGAAAAGGAGAATATTCTTTTCAGATTTAGTAAAGACTTTCTTGAGTTCTTAATGTATTTGCACAGCTAGACTCAAGGAAAGAAAATTAATACCAGCCTCTGAATTTCTGCATTGGTAGCAACTTACATGAAAGCAACCAAGGAATTTTAGGTTGTTTCAAATAACAGAGATTTGTATGAATTGATACAGTGATGTAAGCAGAACCTACAACAGGATAAATAAAAAATCTGGATTGTAAGAAATTGAAAAACCATCTCTGGTTCTAGGGAACAGATAAGGAAGTATATTTCCTTCCCAGGGCTATGCTGGAGCTAACTCTTAAAGGTTCTCAAGAGATGATTGTTAATTTTTCAGTGGGAACATTTACTCCTGAGAAATCAGCAAGCACTAAAAATTGAGGCCTGACTTATTTTGTTGAATGTGTAGATTTAAATAAGTGATGGAGACAATATTAATAATAGCAAATTAAACTCAAAAGTGTTTGCTGTACCTTTTTTCCCCAGAGACTTATTGTTAAACATTACACCCCTACAACCTTCCTCTCAGCAGAAAGGCAAGGGACTACTAGGAAAGAAAGCCACATACATCGTCAGATACTTATCAATGTTTTGGATAGTTTTGCTTAACTTTCCTTTCTGACAAAGGACAGTTCAGCTCTGAGTGGGGGAAGGGGGAGGACAAATAATAGAGGAGGAACAGTTTTCCAGAAATGACTGATGCAAAAGCAAAATCAATAAAAGTTTTCTAAAAGCTTTTCTTTCTTTTAAAACATTGTTATTTTATACTTGACAAACAAAACTTTGAAAAAAAAACCACCTTAAGTAATACATTACAAGTTACTGTATTTTAATGAACTTTCTGGACCCTCTCAAAGCAAGGGTCTGTGGACCTAAGGTTTAAAATCCCTGTTCTATGAAAATAGTCATATGGGAAATACAAATTTTAAAAAAAAACTCTGAATCATTCTAGATTTTAAATTGACCCTCCACACATATTCCTTGGATCCTCTAGATCAGGGGTTCTTAATCTTTTTTGTATCATTGGGAAAGTCTAGTTAAACTTGTGGACCCCTTTTCAGAGGAATGTTTTTAAGTACATAAAACAAAATTCATGAAATTACAAAGGAAATCAAAGGTTTCCTCTGACAAATTTTAAACTTCCTCGAACTTGAGAAGAATTCTTAGTGGAGCAGTTAGAACAATTCTTTGACACCTCCAGTTAAACATGTATGAAGAACAGAAATTACTTTCCTATGTGCTTATTTCTGGCCTAAACGCTCTATCTTTGACTTGAAAATAAATGTCTTTGCAGGAATGTGTTAGCTAGCCTTGCACAGCAAGTGCTGAAAAATAATAATCGTACATCCTTGAATGAATTTTTTTTCTTCCTTCCCAATAGGAAAATGGTGGATTCAAGACAGTGGACTACTGAACATTACCCAGGTATCATTTTCAGACCGAGGTAAATACACATGTGTCGCTTCTAACATCTATGGCACTGTGAACAATACAGTAACATTGAGAGTCATCTTCACCTCTGGGGACATGGGCATCTACTACATGATTGTCTGCCTAGTGGCTTTTACCATTGTCATGGTCTTGAACATCACCAGACTCTGCATGATGAGCAGCCACTTGAAGAAGACAGAGAAAGCAATCAATGAATTCTTTAGGACAGAAGGAGCAGAGAAACTGCAAAAGGCTTTTGAGATTGCTAAGCGTATCCCAATCATCACCTCAGCCAAAACTCTTGAGCTTGCCAAAGTCACCCAGTTCAAAACCATGGAGTTTGCCCGCTATATTGAGGAGCTGGCCAGGAGTGTCCCTCTGCCTCCCCTCATTATGAACTGTAGGACTATAATGGAAGAAATCATGGAAGTAGTGGGCCTGGAGGAGCAGGGCCAGAACTTTGTAAGGCACACCCCTGAGGGCCAGGAGGCCACCGATGGGGATGAGGTCTATACAATCCCCAATGCTCTCAAGCGGAGTGACTCACCTACTGGCGACTCAGATGCCTCATCCCTTCATGAGCAGCCTCAACAGATTGCCATCAAGGTGTCTGTTCACTCATTGTCCAAAAAGGACCACATGGAAGACCAAGAGGGCGTACAGGTAGAGATTAAGGATGAGGAGGTGCTAGAGGCAGCTGTAGTACTGGAGGGGTCGGAACTTCCCATTGAGCCATCTGCAGAAGCTGAGGTTTCTGAGGAGGTAGCGCCTTCAGAGTCAGCACCCCCTTCAGAACCTGTGCCCCCTATAGGGCAGTTGGCACCTGCTCATCTGAAGCCTACTGAGCCAGCCATGACAAATGTAATGAATACCTGTATTATTTATGAAAGCCATGTATAATACTTAACTCTGAAAAAGCTATGCATATCAAGAAAATCAGGGGCTGCTCCTTGTAACACAGATATAGTATGTACTTGCCGCTAAAGCCTTACCAGTAGACTTATCATAACATACATAGGAGTGATGCTCTTTTAAAAGGGGAAAGATACTGATGCAGTGTGTGTGTGTGTGTGTGTGTGTGTGTGTTTCTGTGTGACTAACTCCTCCCTCCTACCTCCTCCCTACTAGCAAAGTGCACCAGAGATATCAGTGTGTGTAAGAGGTGGCATTGGATGGACTATGGCCCATCAAGTTGTGTGCATAGATGATTTAGGCCATATTCTCTTCCAGGCTGCTTAAACCTGGTGGCAGAAGGCACCTTTATGGTATGTCATTCTGAGTTTGAGAGCTCCTGTGCTGTCAGAAAGTCCCTTCTCCTCCCCCAGTAATTTGTACACTGCATTTCTTTTCCCTCTTAAAAAGCATGTCCATGGATTATTTGGCACTTTCTCCCCCATTTCAATGCTGTTTGGTTATGATGGAGTAATTGTTATTATATTAATATTAATTGCTCTTTCTGATTTGTTTGTCTTTGCCATTTTTGTCTCTCTATATACATATATAATTTTTATCCCTTGAAACATTTACCTCAGAGACTTTTGTGTCAGCCCCTTGTTCCAGGGCTGACATCTAGTAGCCGTTTGTAGTGCTGCAAAGAGTGACCAGACTTCGCAGATAAGAAGTCGTATTTCTATTTCTTTCCCTATCCCTTCCCTACTTTCCTCTGTTGAATTTTGTACAATGAAATTGCTGTTGTGAACGTGAGGCTCATGCCCCAGAAGCAGCACTTTAAGAGCCAAATAAAAACCTGTTTACCAATTGGATTCTGAGGGCTTTTGGTGAGCACACTAACGTGTGGAGGGAAATTTTCACGGGTTAAATGTATCCATTCCCTGACAACCCACACCTCAATCCAGTTTTGTTCACAAGTAAACTGTCATCCCCCATAAACTAAGATGATAGAAACAGACATGGCTTCAAAAGAGAAAAACATCAGGTGTAATATCTGAGGAGTCATTTTAGAGAAGCTCTCTGGAAATTGCCATTAGGTGACTCAAACAGAAGATCAGACTAAGTGACATGAAACTCTGTGAAGGGATAGGACCAGGTGTGTTGAAGGGAATGGCTATCCAACTCCTGGCCCAAGAGATGAGATAGGAGCCTTCTATTCAATAGAACACTCATACCAGATCTCCTACCAAAACTGTTGTTAGAGTCTGTGAGAGGAAAACAGGCACATAAGGGGCAGAGTAGTTTAGTGTTCAAAACAAAAAACTAGATTCAAGAAACCTCAGCTCTAATCCTGGTTCTGCCACTAAGCAGCTTAAGAATGAGTAAAGCTGTTGACTTCCCCTTTCTGAGCAGCAGATTACCACCTTCAAAATGCTCACAGCATCCAAATTTCACCAAATAATGAGTTGAGTAGAACTAGCAAACTAAAAATGGGTGGATTTCAGTAGTCTAATCTCCAGAATAAAGTATTTCACATTATACAACCCTGTAGCCACATTGGGGAAAAAACAGAACACCTCCCCCCCCCCCCCCCCCCCCCAAAAAAAAAAAAAAAAACCCACACATGTGATTCCCAGATGCTTCTTGTTACTTGGTATGTCAGCATGTCACTGTAGAAAGTGATTGATTCTGGTAGCTAATGACCTGAGTTCAAATCCTGGCTCTGACACTTACTAATCAAGTGACAATTAGAAATCATTCAGCCTCCATCTTCAGTTTCTTCATCTGGAAAATGAGTGGCAGACTAAATGGCTTCAGATGATCCTTCTCGCTTTTATGATCCATTTTTAGCCAAGGTAACTTAGTAACCTTGATTTGTGAAGGCCATAGTCTTTGGTTTAGGATCACCTAGAAGGCTTGAGAGTCTTATTGGTATGAGAGTGCTGACATCATCCCACTGAGTGAGCATTATAGCATATGCATGAAAAGAGGTTATTTGTTTAAACACACAAAAGCTTGTCCATTATGGATTTGTCCACAATTCCAGTACCATGAATTATAACTGGACAAAGCTACACTCCAAGCTAGTAATAGTTACGGATTTTGCATCTGTGACAATTGTAAGAAAAGGGGAAATTGGAATGACCTTTCTAGAATTTTGTCTGTGCATCAGAGAGCTATTAGCTCCCTTTTTGGTGAGTTTGATGATAATCCTCATCTACTTTATAGAGATAACAATCACAAGTGGGTAGAAATCTTGTTTTGTGTAATGGGAAAATGAGGTTATGTTGGGCCACTATTTGACTTGATAAAAGTGGAAGAGGGAGTCTAACCCTCACTGCAGAATTACAAAATGTCTAACAGATGTATGAATATCCTACCATGAGTAGTGAACAAGTGGTATTCCTAGGTGGACAGAACCATGATCCTATCAATGTGGACATTTCCTCTATTGGTGCAGATCCCATCCACAATTTCTCATCTTGTACTATTCTTGTCCTGTGTTGTCTGATAAATCCTCCCAAAGAAACATTACCCAATATCACCTCACCATACTGGAGGCCTTCCTAGGTCCTTTGACGTTTCATGGTGATGTGAGATCGCTAAGAATTAAAATGTGTATCTTGGGGAACAGATAAATTTAGTAAGTACACATTATCTACATACAAACATTGGCTCTGGAGTCAGAGAGACAAGGTTCTAATCCAACCTCTGATGTTTATTACCTGTGTGACCTTAGACATGTCCTTTAACCTCTCTGGGCCTCAGTTTCCTCATCCATAAAATGAAGGGGCTAGACTAAATGCCCTCTGAGGTGCCTTCCAGGGGTAGATTAATGATCTTGTAATCCTATAATCCTGGTTCTGAGCTTCTCAACCCTTGTCCCTCCCACAACCTTGTGCGTATTTCCCTTCAGAGGCATCTTACTCCACATTGGTTCTTATTTAGCGACAGGCAGCTAATTAAAGAGAAATTTCCCCTGAAGCAGGAATAGAAATGGATACTCAGAAAAGTGGTTTTCCTCACTTCAGGCTGAAAGAGGTAACTTGATTTTCCTAACCTGCTAACTCAGTAAAACATGTTCCTTTGTAATGTAAGGTAAGAGGAGTTCTCCCTTCATCAATATTACCTACTTATTTCCCATCCTGGCAGCTTGGTCTGGGCCCTGGGGAGCCTCTCCTTCTCGGTCTAAAATCTGAAAAAACCTCCTGTTTCTTGGCTGATTTTTCAAAGATGTCAGAAAAAAAGTGATATAGAAATGTAGAACAATCCAACTGAAGTGCACCCAGAGTGTGCATGTTTTTTAAAGCTTAACAGCAAATTAATTCCAAGCCATATCCTTTGGATCTTGCGCAGTCATCCTAAAATCAGGCAGCTGCTCAAGTTTCTGAGTGATGCTTGCCTTACCTCTAAAGACTCCTTGCTTGTGTGCTTCTTAAAAGACTGGAGAAGCCTCAGAAATATGTATGTATTTGATCCACTTAAATGACCTGACAGCCTGGTTGACCTTTCTTGGGTTCTCTAAGTGGAAATGCAGAATTTTATATTGAAAATATATTGAATTTATAATAGTTCTGTTTTATATATTATATTTTCATATGCTTAGGGCACATATGCTACAAGCTACATCCTTTTGTACGTTATAATGAACAGAAATAAATACCAATACTTGACTCAGCTTTCTAGGAACCAAATGTGGTACAAGGTGTATCAAAATCTCTCTCAAATATCTGAATGATCTTCACCCTCCCAAGCACCCTTGTCCTGTAACTTTAACATCCCTATGGCTGTGTGTGGGATGCTTATGATCATCCTATTCAGGACCAAGGTGGAGGGACCTGACATCCTATACAAAGAGATAGATCCTTAAAGGGGAAAGAGCACTGGCTTAGGAATCAGAGGACCTGCGTTCAAATTCCGCTTCTGATGCTTACTACCTGTGACCTTGAGCAAGTCACTTCTCCTCTCTAGGCCTCAGTTTTTTCATCTGTAAAATGAGGTTAGACTATAAAGCCTCTGAGATGCCTCCCAGCTCTGGATCTATAATCCCTTCCTCTATTGGAAATAAGTTTTGTTTTTTAATAGAAGTTCAGACTCTTTTCACTTGGGAAAATGAGTGATTATAAGTATACAAATTTATGTCTATTTCAATCATGTAGCTGTTTCAATTATTTCATGATTGTGAGATCAGCACAGGCTTCCTATTTCTAGTGATCATTGTGAGGTGCCAAAAACATTTGGGGGTTATTGATTAGGCAAAAGAAGCAGTGAGTCATGATGGAAAGAACTCTGGCCTGGCAGCCAAGGGACCTGAGTTCTAGTGGTCCTTCTATCAATTTGTGTAACTGTGGGCACCTCATTGGGCCTCATTGCCTCAACAGTAAATTGGAGGGAACTGGATTATCTCCGAAGTAGCTTCTAATTTTAGTATGTTATGAATAAAAATCTAGACCAACATCAATTAACTCATAGGTATAAACTCCAACCTAACCCACTGAGGGAACCTGATTTTAGAAATGGAATTCAGACACCTTTTTTTTAAACTTTAGACATATGTCAGATTAGAAAACAGGCCCAAATCAGTGCCCACACTGTAGCTACATTCTGTGATTGACTTAATATCTATGGAGGTTTCATATTTTCACTCCAAGCATTTCATTAATGGGAAGGTAATGTTGTTTTGGACCTATCTTTCTGAAAATCTACTTTCTGTATGCAGTTTAGCTATTATTTGATTCAGTCTTCAGAGAGGTTTTTGCTATTGTTTGGAGGCTTTAATTCCCCTATCTCTGACCCACCTTCTATGCTCACTCATAAGTTGCCTTTTAAAACTTTATCTTATCTCGTTCATTCAATAGTTATTTACTTAACACCTGTTGGCTTTGGGATACTCATTATTTTTACAATGATATATTAACTTTAAAATCGACACAAAACATTTTGTTGTTGCTGTTAATGCTGATGAAAGGCAGGGTGGCTTAATGGATAGACGGTTGCCCTTGGAGTGGGAAGGACCAAGGTTGAAATCTTTCCTGTGGCATATACTGGTTGTGTGACCCTGGGTGAGTTAATCTTTCAGTACCAGGCCACTCTCTAAGACTAAGTTGTTGCTGAGTTTTAGTCCTGCCAAGGTAGAGGGGGCTTTCACACTGAGTGTTCTCATGTTGTCACAGGGTCTATACATCCCCCTATCCCCCACCCCACTCCTGCAAAAAAATGTTGATGGAATTAGGTTTGGATTAAACAAAGCATTGTAGGAGTGGAAGGAGATTTGGATTTTAGTGAAGCTATTTTATATCTTATCTGAAGATAGGAGTGTCCTGAATATTATAAAAGTAAATGCTGTATGAGGGCAATAATGAACAGAGGGTATTACTATACTCAAAAATTGAGTAGAGAGAGAGCATAAAAAGCTACAAAGCAGCATTTCTACTGAAATGCTGTCATGATTGCCTTCCATCTAAACAAAAAATCAGAAGCCTTCAAGGTATCTCTCAGACATCACAGAGTGGTTAAAAGCTCATTAGACTCAAAGAGAATGACCACACTGAAGTCTTATTTGTTATATTTCAGTCATTCTGGGAGTCCTTTGTTGCCATGTAATGGGTATATAAGTAAAAAAAAAAAAAGGATTTCTGTGAGCAGAAATACCATAAAATTGTCTGGTGATTTTGTGAACTGTAAATGTTCATTTTTGAAGTTCGCAGATGTAAACAAATGGCAGCATCTAAGTGAATGTAACAACAGCCAAAAAAAAAAAGTGTGATCCATCCTGTAAACTGATTGTTGTTTCAATAAAGAATTTGCACAGGGTTTGTTGAATGTGTGTGTGTCCCTCTCGAAGGGCAATTTTTCAAAAACAAGCGCAGGGCTCCTGTGGATTTTTCCATTCTTTCCCCAACTTGTGAATCTGTACTCAACTTGTTCTGTGAACACATTCGACATTTGTGCAGCCTTTTGCAGAGAATAGTAAATTGGAATAACCTTTATAAAGCTTATCTCTTCCTGAATTAGGAAGTCTTAAGTCTACTTTTGACATCATTATAGACTTCATCTACCTTAGAATTTAATTTTGGGGACAGCAGCCTACAGACAGCAGCCTTAATCCTTCTCCACCACACCTCACCCCACCCCACCAAATCTAGTATGTAAAGTCCCCTTTTATCCAGAAAACTATGGTAACTGAAATATTTCTCTATCAGGGAGAGCCGTCCCTACCAAGAAGCCCTGAGAAGGCCTAAAGTGGAAGCAGATTTCAAGGGAATGCTCTGATTGGTCAATTAGTCAACCTAGAATGCTACTAGACCAAGAAGGAAGAAGACAAGGAAATGAGAATGAATCAAAGAACAAGGAAAGCAGTGAGGAGAAAAAATGGAAAACAAATAAAGGAAGAAGAGAAAAATCAAAATTACTATATAGTGCTTAATACACAAGCAACAGAAGAAAAGTAATAGCTATAACTTGAGTCCCATAGCCCATAAGTAACAGCGATGTGCATTTTAAGGTCATAGGTTCAAATCTTGGCTCTGACATTTAATACCTTTAGGATGTTGGACAAGTGGATTA